TGAAGCTCACAGGTGTGCTCAGGTGTGGGCACCACAGGGCGACCAATGACCCCTCCAAGAGCGCTGACTGGCCCCCAGGCCACACTGTCCCACGGGTTCCTGTTGAGCACTCTTAGCAAGGGCCTTCAGTAGACCATCGCCGAGTGCAGGCAGCCCGGGCCATCACCCAGGGCAGCAGGGAGCTTCTGGACAGCTCAGGCCCCCGGAACTAGACACTGTGACGTTTCTAAAGCTCACCTAGTGCTTAATCCATTTTGCTTCGTGTTTGGCCAACCACCCTGTGAGTTGGGCGTCATGAACTCAGCTCCCTACCCGGGAAACGATAACTCAGAGAGGCGCACGTCTCGCCCATCACACTCAGGTGAGAGCGGAAGCTCTGCCTCAACGGCTGCCCTGGTGGTGAAGCGGCGGGGGGGGGGGGGGGGTTGGGGGGGTGCCCAGCTGGGCAGTGTGGGGAGGGGAGTCAGTGCAGGAGGCAGAGCGGGACCGTCGTCTGCTCCCTCGCCCTCGGTGCCCACTCCTGCATGGTCCCATGGGTGCCATACTGACTTGCACCGGTGCCTGCTGGCCACCCGACCTCCCCTCACCCAGGAACCCTAGCTTCTGAGGTCTTGGCCTCTGTGGGCCCTTTGTCGTGATCCTTGTCAACACCCCCTGTGGGGGCACTTGGGTTCCTGCGTCCTCTGTTCTGCAAAGTCAGTCAGCCCACCTCAGGCCCCCTTCATCTTCAAAACCCAAACCCTGCAGGCTGTACCTTTTTAAAGCAGGGAGCAGGCGTTTTCACCAGAGGGTCTTTGGTCTTGGGGGGATGAGTAGAGGGAGGTCGAGACCCCCAGTGTCCCTAAACTGCTCCTTCCCCCAAGTCAGCTTCTCAGAGGTGTGGCCCACAGCAGACTTGGAAGGGCCCTGGGGCTCAGACAGCTTGGCCTGCCCTGCCTGGGATGTTATTTCTTATTTTTTTCTCTCTCAACTATTTTTTTTAACATAAATTGTTTTGAAGTGTAATGTACATACAGAAAAATGCATGAGGTGTTAAGTGTTGCAGTGATTTTTCAGGGGGTGAATACATGTGTAACGGGCACCCAGCCCCAGCAGCGCCCCCTTGGAGTGTGCCGTGCATGGGGCCTTGAGTAGATGTTCTTTCATGCCTGCTTTCCTTTGCTCTACGTGATGGTGGTGAGACTGGTCCTTGTGGGTGGTCGTCTTCGTCCATTCCCATCCCAGTGGCACCCCACTGAGTGAATACACCACAGCTCGCTGTGGAGGGCGGCTGGGGGGGTCCGTTTGGAGCCATTGTGAATAGTGCTGCTGTAAACACTCCTGGAGGTGTCTTTTGGTGTGAGTATGTAAGCATTTCTGGCACCCAGGGAGGAATTTCTGGGCCTGCATTTACTCGGCTTTCATAGGCACTATCTTCCCACGTGGCTTTACCAGTTCACACTCCCACCACCAGCCGCTGGGAGTTTCCGCTGCGCCACATCCTCGCCAGCACGTGGCATTTTCTGTCTTTTCATTTTAGCCATTCCGGTGGGTGTGTGGCAGTGTCACACTGTGGTTTAGTTTCCCTTCCCCGATGACTAATGAGGTTCAATGCTTTTTCTTATGTTTATCACCCTTTCGGATATCCTTTTTTGTGAAGTACCTCTTCAAGTCTTTTGCCCATTTTTTAAGAAATTGAGTCATCTGACTTTTTTTATTTGTATGAGTTCTTTATATATTTTGCACATGAGTCCTGTGCTGGATATACACATCTGTCTCTCTATCTGCTCATATCTACACAGACACACACACACACACACACACATTTATTCAACAGATAGGTGTCGAGAGCCCCCATGTGTGGACATGTCACAGTCACTGGGGCACGGCAGTGAACAGAACAAAGGTCCTGTCCTCATGGAACTCAGATTCTCCCGAAAGGAGACCAATAAATAAGAAAGTAGAAAAACTATGTCGGACTGCAGTAACTGTGCGGAGGAAAGTTTAGTAGGAGAGGAAGTGTGGGAGCAGAGGGTAACACTGTAAATATGTCAGCGAGAAGGTGACATGTCAGTAAAGACGTAAGGGGGAGAGCCACCAGATGCCTGGGGAAGAGCATGGGCAGAGGGAGGGTGGCAGGGCCTGCTGCGGGGGCTGGCGCAGAGTGAGCAGGGGGTGAGTGGGGTGGGAGGTCTCAGATGAGGTCAGGTCAGCAGAGTTTGGGGGCCACTAGGATCTGGCTTTCATTCCACTGGGGGCTCTGGGCAGAGGAGGGACACAACCTGACTCAGGTTTTAATAGGGCCCCTGAGGCTGCCGCGTTGAGGCAGAGCAGGTGGAAGCAGGGACACTAATTAGGAGCGTGTGGCAGTAGGTCCACCTCTTGTCCCAGTTTCCTGTCTGTCCCACATGTCTGCACTCATGAGGATGTCCAGAGTCACTGTCATCCCAGAATCAGGCGTCCCTGCTCTGCCATCCTTGGAGCGTCCTCTAATGGTCACAGTGGATGCACTGTTCCTGGCCTCACATCCAGCCCCTGTCATCTGGGGTGTCTCTTCCTATGTGCCTCATCTTTCCCAGTAGATGTCCACTGGCCACACCACACCTGCTTATTCTCCACTTTCTAAAGCTGACTCTGGCAAGGTAATGGGGTTCCTCTGTCGGTCCCCACAAGCCCCACCTGCAGGACCTGGCTCCCTGTGCCCAGCCCCACCAGCAGCTTCAAGCAGGAGAACACCTGGGCAGGGGTCAGCCCTGGCACGCCCATCTCCCTGCCACCTTGGCACGAGGAAGGACGTAGATGTAGTCTAGGTACACACGTGAATGCTGAAGTCACACCTGTGAGCCAAGGAGAGAGCACCATCCATATCTGTGAGGATGTTCCTAGGGCAGAGACAATGGGCAGAGGGGCCCTCCTTCCTCCTGGGGAAGCATCTACCTTATTGAGGTCCTAGGGGATGCTGGTGAAATCTGTGGGTGAGCACGCATGGCAAACGTGACCATATAGGAAGGCACTGTGGGGCTACACGAGAGCTCAGCACCTCCTCTGGGCTGTAATGTCTAGAGAGGCCAGGGGGAAGGCTTGCTCTGGGTGCAGGTACCAGCACGGGTGACCGCCTGAGAAATACTGGGGCCACCTTAGGGCCCAGATGTCTTGCAGAGCTGTGGGATAGGGCTGAGAACCGCAGGGGTACATGCCTGGTACCTCTCCAGGGCAAGACCCCAGGCCTTACCCATCTTGGTGCTCTGGAGCTGTTTGAAGGGGTGGGGTGGCCAGGTAGGCCCAGGACCCAAGGGCCCAGGCTGGTCCTGGTGCCGCAAGTTACCCGCAGAGGCCACTGTGAGCTTTGCATCCTCTGGCTGGCCTGAGATGAGATGCAGAAGCAGCAGGGGGAGAAAGACAGTGTGAAAGCTTGGGGGGCTGATGTGCTGGAGCCTGCAGCTCTGGCTATTTCTGCCTGGTGTCCCCTGTCCCCCACTGCCCACCCACAGGAGCTGTAGAAGGCCGTAGTTAATAGTGCAGGCACTAGAGCTGTGAGAGCTGGGTTCTAGTCCAGTAGTGAAAGTGAGGGTGGAGGGTGGGCAGAGTCCAAGAGAAGGACACCTGTCTCCAAACTCCGGCATCCTCTTGGGGGAGGCTGGTGAATGGACTCAGCACAGCCCCTAATTCTTCAAGACAGAAATGACTGTCCACCAAGACACAGCCTAGTGGCCCATCTTGCTACTGGTAAGAGAGCAGGCGAATGAGAAGGGGTCGCTGGGAGGAGAGATGGTTGTCTCACAAGGCTGTTGGGCACAGGGCGGTGGGGGTGGGGGAGCAGCAGCCTGGGACACTGACAGGGTCACCTCTGCCCATCCAGGCCCTGGGGCTTGCTCATGAGCTCAGCTGGGCTGGTCTCAGCCCCTCTCTGGGCATCCCTTGCTCCTCCCTGTAACCTGCAAGCTGAGAATGTCCCTGCGCCCCTCTAGTGGTAACACCTCCAGAATGCCCCCCAGCTCCATCTTCCAACTCAGCCTCTGGGCCCTCTAGTGCCAGATCTCCCAGAGAGGGCGCTCTGCAGTCAGTCCATCTTTTCCATCTAAATTCTCAGAGCCTGGGTTGGGGGCCACTGCAGGAACACGGCGGAGGGGGAGACCTGTCACCTAACAGGATTCCTTCTGAGTGCTGGGGCTCCTGGGGGCGGAATGAGGCCTCACTGTGCCATGTGCCAGGCCCGCCCCACGCCGTGTCTCAGATTAGTTGTCTCAAAAAATCAGCTGCCGTGTCCCTCGTGTTCACTCAAGGAAGAGGAAGGACAGAGAGTTCCGTGTGACGCTCGATGCCAGAGCTATATGTAGTAAGCGCCCCGTCAGGGGAAGCATTCAGGCCAAACGCTGGCCAAGCACCTGCCGTGGCTCTGTAGTGGACACCTACAATGAGGTGAGGTCGCAGAGGGGGAAGAGAGGCTCGAGGGGAGACACGGGGGCGCAGGGGGCTCTCCGTGAGCGGGATCTTACCAACACAACCGCTCCCGTCGCGCGCTGAGCCCCGACCAACACGGCGCCCCTTCTCCTAGTGGCACAGCCCGCCCGGCGCACGCAGCACCGACACCCCGGCACCGCCGCCCGACTGACACCACGGCCCGCGCCCCCGTTCTCCTGGCGCCCCCAAACCCAGAGCCGGGCCAGCGCGCCCGGCCCTTGCGGCAGACCCCCGCCC